AAAAAAATTTTGACCCCGAGAATGGGGGGGGTCCCCTTAAGCTGGGTCTGAAAGAGATAAAATATAAACCAATAAGCGTTGTTTGTGGTTGAAAATTGGGACCTACTTCATAGGTCCTTTGCCGACTAATTTTCTGATGCACTGAATCAGAAAATCTCAGTTGCTGAGATTTTCCCTAGAAATTTTAAAGTGACATTCTAGAGATTCGAATTAAATAGAAACCGAGAAGAGGGAAGTCTCCCTAAGACGGAAGTAAAACCCAACTTCGCCTACATATAATTTTCATAAAAACCTGTTAAAAGTTTTTGTCGGTGTTGCCTACATATATATATACCCTCAGTCTATGGTTTACGGAGGTCTTCGGAATTACATATATATATTAATTTTTTATTTTCTTTTTTTGCAAAATATTGACCATTTTTTGGGTGAGGTACTAGAAGGAGTAGACCGATATTCCCCATTCGAACTCAAACTATGTTGGGAAGAAATATGTATCTACAATTCGGATAAAATCGGTTACTCCCTTTGAAAGTTATCGTGCGCACAAGCTGCCCGACATAAGATGGACATTTGTAAATCGACTGCAAATTGTCTGATGTGGATTTGGTCAAAAGAAACAATATTTCGATGAGGCACTTTTTTGCCGTGTCATTAGCCATAAGACAGAGGGTATAAAAATTCATCAACTTGACACGAATGATTCCATAGATCGCCAAACAAAATATCATACAAAAGTCATTATTAACAAATTATTAACTTCTCAAGAGTCATATTAATAGATTTGCTTGGGACAATTATTAACCGACACATAAATCATCAACATTTCGTGATTTGCAGTAACACTTGTTGCCCTACAAAAAAAGTAAATTAATATCCCATGGCGCCAATATACGAAATTTATTGTCAAATATTAATTATCTGTACATGTATTATTTACATACACATTTATATATATTTCGCATGTTTATGTGAAAATACTTTACATATAAGTACAGATGACTTCAGATAATCACAACTCAAATCTTTAATAAATAAGTGAACTAGGATTTTCTAAAGGGGTATCAAATACATTGAATGTAATCAGCAAATGTACGCTTTTCGTAATAGGCCTATAGGAAATAGACAGGAAATAACATGTATACTTCTAAAATTAAAAGGTACATATTCACTCTGTCATGTAGCCGTATCACTGGGATAACTGGTCGTTATTGGAAACCCCTACATATGCATAGTACTTCAGTACCTATTTCCTAAGTAATAATATTTCTTTATGTGAGGTAAATGCAATTTACAAACAACATCTATCGATCTTTTACTAAAACATTTATATTTCACATTTAGCTGGAGCCTACTGTACTATAAATCACACTTTAATAAAAAATACATGTAGACAAACACCTTTGCAACCACCACTAATGTATAACTTAATTGTTCCCCAACATCAAACTACAAAGAAACTAATCACCACGTTTTTTGGTGGGCTTGGGGAACACGCAACCTACGCATATTTCCTATGATTGTGTACGCGTTTTAGTGTGCGTGAATTCTCCTGTCTCTTTGGGGTTTGCATGTCTGAGTGACAGAAAAATTATCTAAAAACACTTTATCGATTGAATAGCCAATTAAATGATGTGTTTTCTGTTTTTTTTTTTTTTCGTTACAAAGGAATTATGTGCGGTTATCTCTAGACTCGTGACTTATAAACGATAAAATGTAGTCATAACCTTTAATAATGCAAATTATGTTTACCATAATTTTCAAAAACATGCATGAATTTTGTCATTGGGTATATAAACATTATAGAAAAAAATAAAAAATGGTATTAAAAGGAAGATACATTGTCATTGAAGCAAAAATGCTGTTGACTTAGGTAATGTACCTCTAACATTAAAGAAATTGCTGAAAAAGTTTTTTATGAAAAATAGCCAAGAACAGACTGAAAGAACGACAATATATTCACAGTCTCTCCAATGCATGCAATATTGGTCTAGAACCAAGGTAAATGTTATTTCGTACAAGGAAGACATGTTTAAAGGATATGGGATGTGTAGTAAATGGGATTGAATCTTCCACTTACAGGTGTAATGATATTGTAACTCAGGTTGTCTGACAAGAGTAACTCCACATATAAAAAACATTCCTCTTATAACTTCATTGCAGTTTGATGGTTAGGAACCACAGGATGTGTTGGTCCGTAATATGAGTTTTATGAGCCTCCAATCTCGATTTTATTTTTTCAAGATTTTCAATGGGCTGGTAAATCAATACCAGTGCTTGTTAAGGTTTGTAACTTTGTACATATATATTTGAAGATTTAAAAGAGAAGAAAAATAATTTACAAACAATTTTTGTTATTGTTTTGTTGTTGTTTTTGTAATTAAAGAAAATTCCTTATTTTTGATGGCGGGCATGATAACTCCCCACTGGAACATCGGAGTCCGAAAATTCCAACGGTGTTAGAAAGAGTACATGTCTGTCTCTCGTATGAACTAGGATTATTGACTTCGCTCTAAAATTAACAAAATGGCGGACCTTTGAAAAAATATTTTTGGAAAATCGCCGATTTTTTACCAAAAAACAAGTTAAAAAATAAGGAAGATCTTCACCGATTGGCATTATCCTAGTTCATACGATAGCTATACACTCACAGAGAAAAGTGTAAAAACTTGGAATCGATTGGGTCATTAGTTTTTGAGTTATCGTGCCAGCCATTCACAAAAGAGAAAAATGCGTTTAAAGTTTGAGAAGCCCTTCAGCCATCACTTGATGTTGACACAATAAATCGGCTATATATTCAAGAATTCTTAAGATTTTCTCTTGAAATTTTGTAAGGACATTCTTGAATTAGTGTAGATTCGAATTAAATCAAAAAAATTTTTGACCCCGAAAATTTGGGGGTCCCCTTAATTGATAAAATTTAAAATTAGACGGTATACCAAAAAAAAAATAAACAAAATTTGCCATAAATATAAAGTAAAGAAAAACGAAATTAAACTTAGCGGGCATACAACATGGTGGGTTATTCTTAAATCAATCAGGACTTTTAATGTTTTCATCCTCCAATAATCCGAAATGTCTAAATAAATCCACTTCGTTAAGAAAATATGGTTAATATCTTCCAAATACATCGTCTTGTTGAAACCACACACTCCCGCTCCGTATTGACGGTGACAATCGTTCTATCGTCGATTTCGAAGAAGTGATATCCAATCACACCTTCGACCCAAAGAACGCACTAAGCTGTGATGTTTTTGGGTGTAATGGCCTATCTACAATTACTTGAAGCCCCTCAGAAACCTAAGTTTTTGAACGATTGTGTAATTTGTATGCGTTTTGAGATTATTAAGCGATCAATTTTCCTCAATGTCAGACTTTCAACTGAAAATAAAAAAATGACTTAACAACTTTTGAAATCTTTTATATGCTTAACCAGAATTTGTCGAACAAGTCACGTCCGCCTGTCTGTCACGATAGAGATTGCAATATTTAAGGTAGAGCTTTCAAATTCTGCACTAACATCATGTAACATACTGTCACGTTATTGCAAATGGCGTATATCGGTCCACGTTTTGTATAACTCCCACAAAACGATTCACTTTTTGGTATTTTGAGGGTTTTAGCCGGATTTTCTAACCATTCTTGATATAGAATACACTTCCCTACTAATAAACTATACACAATGGCATTGTCTCGATATAAGGTCCGGACATGTAAAAAATCAAAAACCTCAAATTTGTCGAACCCTTTATATGGGTTCTGGAAAAAAGCAGACATATATGAGTATACTGAAACATTTACCCGCTGAGGACAATAAGGAGTCATATTTTTAAGTGTTACAACGAAATGACAACATTAATATACTCGTCATATTCACCGGGTCAAAAGCCTTTTCCTATGTTTTCTTTTTTTCCGAAAACCTACGCAGGGTCTTTGGAGTCGTTTTCTATTTTTATACCCTCCACCATAGTATGGAGCAGGGACGTACGCAGGGGGGGGGGAGCCCTGGGTTTGTTCAGTTCAGTTTGTTTTTCATTTGATTTTTTTTCGTTTTCTGCTAGACTCATTGATCGATTTCAGGTATTTTGAAGTTATCGATTTTTTTATTTCTTTTATAACTCGGCTGTAATATGGAATATGACCCTAATACCCACGAATTTTCTAAAACGGAACTGACCATTATATGGCCCTTATAGCAAAGGATTACACTGAATGGCATTATTCTTTGAGGAGGTTGTATACCCAAAATTTTCTAAAACGGAACTGACCATTGTATGGCCCTTATAGCAAAGGATTACACTGAATGGAATTATTATTTAAGAAGGTTGTATACCCAAAATGTGGCCAACGAAAAAATATTTATGAATTCATGGCATATTTTTCAAATAATTATACCCTTCAGGTTCAGATTTTAATATATCTTTTCACCAATTACGATGATATTTTGTAGTGCGCTGTGCTGCAGCATACCAAATATGGTGTGTCAAGTTTGCTTTAAGTCCGTCCATATTAATATATTACGACTCTATGTTGGTCCGAATGAAATTAAATTTTGCATAGATTGCAGAATGGCATTCGTTCACAGAAATTTGCAGATTACTTATTTAATTTCGCCCGATTTATATAACACATCTCTTGAATATAGTCAAAGTGGTAAAGTGTATCATATAATCGGCCCATCTGATTTTTTTTTTGTTTTCCTTAAGATATATAACTCATAAGATACAGGAAATATATTTTGACAAATATATTTGTTTCCGAAGGACATCGATAATGTGACCCTAAATCTGGGAACATTGAGAATATGTCCTCCAAGAAGGTGATTTGAATTTCTAAATCATTTTAACCTTCCAAACAATTTCCATTTTTAGTCAATAGCCTATATTTTAATAATATTAATTAACAACGACAGGTTTCAAATACATTAAAAGATTTCCATGAAATATACTAATACAATAATAAATAGATTTACAATAATACACGAACAAAATTTCCCAACTTACCTTTAGGCGGTGACGAATGATAGTATAAGCCTTGAAAACGACGTCGACGTTTGGGAGGCATTTTTGTTCCTTCTATTTTTTCGTCTCGTTTCGTTTCAATATTTAATTGTTGACAACAAAAACTTTGTTAATTATTTACCCGCCGGGTACAATGAATTCATTAGGGCGGATAATATTTGTTGGTCTAATTTCCGTTTTACAATTCTCATCGATAAATGGAAGAAAACTGAACTCGAGGACGACGGTGGCGATGAATGAATGACATGGAATGACCGAAACGAAATGTAATGACGAATTCAATAATACAACAACTATACGACTCGACAATAACGACGATTGAAGATTACGACCGTATTCACGAAGACTTCGTTGATGTTTAACAAATGGTTAGCATTTATTTTTATTATTTTTTTACAAGTCACAAATTGTTTTTAATAAAAATTTTCCCCACAATATTTCATACATATGCATTTTTATATATTTCACTTGTCTCTCATTTATTTTTGGTGTTGTTTTTGCTAATAACATTGCATTGATGTCTATCAGCTCACGTTCACCTCATTTCAACATCGTGTTTGAAACTAATTTATCATATCTTATGGCCTGAGGTGGAATTTTTGCATTCTCCATTTTTGTTGTTGTTTTATTATATTCTGTGAAATAGAAATGACACCGGAAAATAAGTCATATTTTTCTCACTTGGGGTTTTACACAAAACATTTCTTGTATTAGTGTTCTTTTCATATTTTGTCACTATCCTGTTGGACAATTCAATTCATGTCGATGATTATTATAATAATTATTATTATTTTGGTGGTAATAATGATGTTGAAAAAAATTAGAACGAAATGCATAAAGTTAAAAAAACACACACACATACACTGATGACTGAGAGAAATGAATATGAACCATTGCATGCAGAGGGACGAAGTTTTTTTACGGTGGGAGGTTTTGTAATCTATCATTTTTTAATAGGAAATATTTTTTCCTATATTTTTGGGCGAAAATATATATGGAAGCTATATGTAAATCTGCTTACAAAATCATTTAATCAAATCGGAAGAAAATACATATGGGAACTATGTCTAAATCTGAACTGATATCTTATCCCCTGAGAACCTCAAATAACCAATTGCTATAATTTTGGCTGAAGAGTGATGCTGGGGCTTCAAAATACTTAAGATCGAGCGGAGCCCTTTTACAGGGGCCATGTCAAAACATTTTCTGCTAGAAAATATTTTAGTCTCCGCTCAAACTTGGAACTTGACGAATATTAAATTGTTCGAAGAAAGTGTAGCCACTTTTGTTGAAAAAGACACCTTAAATTGGACGTGCCGAGAACATATGAACAGTTCGGTTATTATACGAAGAAGCCATTTTAGTTGTAAAATTCGACTAGGATCCTCAAACTATTTAACCAAAATCGGTTGTAATGCGACAATATGAACCCACTTGAATAGGTCCATTCTGTGACACATATATAACTATCGGATTCGATATTAAAAATGAAAAAAATATATCGGTACCATACAAGGCCACATTATAGTACGTTTACATTGTATCGGATTTCGTTAACATAGTGGGTAAAAATTGGCAATATATATTGTAAATATGCCAAATAAATCCTCATACTGTAGGTTAACCCGGTAAAAACTTCTAATGTAAATCCTGTTTTACAGTCAATATTTTTTGATACTGTTATACATTAAATAGCTGCGGATTGGATCTATTTTAGAGTGGAGTCAGAATCAGACACTTCAATGCAATTTTTTAAACACAGTACAGCCCACAGTTACGGACCAATCGTCACAATATTTTGCATGTAGGACGGGTTGTGGCCAAAGAAGATCGCTATTGTTGGAATGGACCAAAAACTTAATGTTTGTCTGTTTCTCTGTCTAGTCGCTCTAGAGACCACAATTATGACCCGAACATCACGAAATTTTACACATAGAAAGAAGTCTGACCATGAAGTAAGCATGACAGCTCTGATGAAGATCTTACGGCTAATGAGGGTATATACACTTTGCTACAGCAAACATGTGTCTCATCTAAAATATTGATTGTCGCCCCATGTTTCTTTGGACCAAATCCGTTTCACACAATTTGAAGTCGATTTACAAATGTCCGGACTGGCTGGTGCGCAGGATAACAACTTTGCACGTCCTAATTTTTCTTCTAAACTTAGTTTAAGTTAAGATTGCACCGATCGATTCACTCCTTCTGATACCTCCACATATCGGGCGAATGAATGTCCGATTTGAATCAAATTTTGCACATCATGTTATCTTTTCCTAACCTAGATCATGTCCGAAGATGGGACCCATTGGTCCACTCCTGCATGTACCTCCCCCACAAAGGGTCTACATATTCAATATTTCCAATGTCCGATTTGAACCAAACTTTGCACTACATATTGTCTTTACCAAGCCTATATCTAAACCGAAGATGAGACTCATTCGCTCACTCCTTCTGGAAACTCCCTAACAAAAGGTCGAAATTTTCAATATTTTGAAATCCAATATCAGGCGAATGAAATTTACGATTTGACCCAAAATGTTCACAAAATATTATCTTCTCGAAGTCAAAATCAAGTCCTAAGATGGCATCCATTGGTCCACCCCTTCTAATATCTCCCACACAAAGGGTAAATATTTTCAATATTTATAAATCCAATATCAGGCGATTGGAATGTCCGATTTGGACCAAACATTGCCCGACCTATCATATTTACCAAGCCTAGATCAACTCAGAAGATGAGACCCATTGGTCCACTCCTTCTGGTACATTCCTCACAAATGTCAGGCGAATGCAATTTCCGATTTAAACAAAACATAGAACTAACTATTATCTTTACCAAGCCTAGATCAAGCCCGAAGGGTCTTCTCCTTGAATTGAATAACTGATTTTATCAACATCAAATTGAAGACCTCCGCTAACCACGGCTGAGGATATACATCAGTTGGAAACGCCGATGAAGACATCTTTCCTTGTTTTTGCCTAGTGCTCTAGATGCATAGAAGCCGAACATCACGAATTTTCAATGGGTAAGGGGATCTGTCCAACTAATTCGAATAGCCAGTCTAAATATTGAACCAAAACTTTTTCGAGTAAATAACAAAATTTAAATCTTATGGAGTAATTTTTATACTCCGGGAAAATCAACCAATTTTTTTAATTCGGAAACTATGCCGAAGAGGAGCTGTTGGCCGCTAATCGGTCAAGAGAGTAAATATTAAGCAGACTTGAAATACAACCAATTGTATTTTTTGTGTAAAATAACAATATTTTTATTCCGGTAAAAAATAATTTGGAATATTTGCCTCTAAGGAGCTGTTGACTTCAAATCGGTCAAAAGATTACAAATATCTCAAAGAATTACCCGGGCTCGGAATGTAGAACCGCAGAAACACAGAGCCCAGTGGTAGTTGTGTAGGGTATCATATGGTTGGCCCCGTCGGACTATACTGCTCCGCTCACTGATTTATATTTGTATATCGGTACAATGTATCTGGCTTGCAGGGATCTCCGAGGAATATTTCGAGAGTCATGTAACCTACTTAAGTCTGTAGAATCCTTACGTACCCTTGCTTGTTTACTTCGAAGCAAGAATTCCCCCGTATACTTCCAGGAATACTTCCGACCATACCATGAGGTATACATTTACAATAGATAAAATCGGTCAGCACCGTCATAGAGGACTATATGATATCATGGAACTGCGCTAGAAACTTTAACATACAGAAAATTATGATGGACTATTGAATGGAAACTATAAAGACCATAAAACTATATTGAAATTTTTTGGAAAGAAGTTTTTATTCATTAGGAATATGGAATATCTAATTGCAGCCAAGTTGGCGGCGTTTTAAACAAAACAAAATTGGAAAATTGGCCAGGTCCCTTAAATGGGGCAATATCCAACATTTTCTGCAAAGACTTATTTAAGTCTTCTTCTGACGAATCCAATTGGACGCTATAGTTTTTTTCCAGTATAAATCTACTTTGCGAACTTTTTATGGTATGTTGTCGTAAAATCCTGCCGAATCTTTGTTTAAATAGCTTTAAAGTCTATTGCCTATTACCTTTTTCTTACAGTGTAATTTCCCATATTCTTATTTGAATATTTGTTAAGGTATGATGAAGTATAATCCATTCCTCCTAGATGTAAAGTTTCACTGATGAATTCGACTTTTTATTGCATCCTAAAGCCCATGAGGGTGTTGACCAAAAACCATTCATAAAAACGAAAGAAGTCAACCAGGCTCAACAAACCTTCAGACGCCGAGGCTAATTGAGGAACGCTAAGAAAATAAAATGCATCGTCAGACAATCACAGAGAACCCCATCACTAAAATTATGAAATAACCCAAATAATGATAAACCACGTTTCTGAAAAATTTGAAAATATTTCATTCACATTATCTATCTTAACATGAAATTGCTCATACAACAACTTTATCAACTGCACTGCAATCTCACATGTATTTCCACGACACACATCTACACACTAACGTACCAAAACACACTCACAACATTATGCACCGGTTCGTAACTCACTCATTCGCACACTGACACTTTTAACCACTTGTTTGACGTGGGGCGTATCGAATTTGAACGTTGGTTAGCCCCATTAAAAATCACACGTTTTTTATTGTGAATTTCCTTCCGTTCAGTGGCACGTTCTCTTCTAGGTTTGCCTTTTGTTCTATTGCCAATTTGCATTTGTGTTGAGTTATTGTGTTCGTGAATGTGTGTGTGTGTGTCTTTTTTCACCATGCAGTAAATTTGTGTACCGTAGGCGTTGAAAATCTATAAGGCTGTGTCATTTACATTAAAAACTTTTTTTATTTTTTCATTTCAAATCCCGTTGAAATTCGAAACAAACAGAAAAAAAGAAGTGGACAATCGACCGGACACGTTAACGTGTAGCTGAGAGTGGCGTAGACAAACTGCAACTGACCGACGAGTTTTGAATTCGAAGAAATTATTCAAACTAAATGGCAGCGTACAACTGTAGTTAGATTAGAGAATATAAATGTGTGAGTGTGTGTGTTTGCGGGTTTTGGGGGGAGAGGAATAACTGTTTAGTTGTGGCCATAAGTTAATGTTCGAAACTGGCGCAATCTCCATTAAAGGATAATAATAAAATATTGTGTCCAACACGAATAGTGGGTATTCTCTCGAAGATGGTTCTCTCTCTCGTGC